GCTGCGTCTAGGTCGAACACGGAAGTCATGTTCTCCCCTGTTATCGCTCCTGCTTCGGGGCATAGCCGGTCACCCCCCCGCAATTTGCCAGGTCGCGGGAGGGGCCAGAAAAAGCCCCCTGCTCCTGCAATCTGTCTGAGAGTGCTGGTCGGACTCTCCCCGTTGCTGGGGGGACCGAAAAAAGCAATAACGGGTCGGGTGGCTCGGAGCCCATCGAGCTCCCGCCCGCCCGTCGTCGCGTCGAAACCGGAAGTCAGTTCCCTGGGACACTTAAGGGGGCCATGGTCCTCTTAAAAAAACCATCTTTGGATCCGGCCGAATTGGCTAATTACCGGCCGGTTTCCAACTTGCCCTATTTGCCCTACTGTTGTTGTTGGACCTGTCGGTAGCATTCGGCAAGGTCAACCATCAGCTACTGATCCACCACCTCGCCAACTCTGGAATTGAGGGGCTTGCCTTGCAATGGCTCGCATCCTTTCTTCAGTGCCGGGGACAAAGGGTGGCACTAGGGGAACAGCTGTCCTGAAGGCACCAACTGACCTGTGGTGTGCCTCAAGGGGTGGTACTTTCCCTGATGCTGTTCAACATCTACATGCGCCCCCTTGCCCAGAGGCACGGGCTGGGGTGTCACCAATATGCAGATGATACCCAGCTCTGTTGTTGGGTGGCCAGTCTACACCGGAAGATCTGGACCGGGCGTTACAAGCCGTGGCTGATTGGCTTAGACTGAGTCTACTGAAACTGAATCCGACGGAGGTCCTGTGCTGAGCTGAGGTGGCCCGAGGGTAGGGATCCCACTTCCAACCTTCGATGGGGTTCCATTGGTGCCAGCGACGGAGGTTAGGAGTTTGGGAGTGCTCCTGGGTGCCTCTTTAACAATGGAGGCCCAGGTAGCAGTCACTGCCAGGTCAGCCTTCTATCATCTCCAGCTGGTCAGGCAGTTGTTTCCCTTCCTCAAATGCAGCGACTTGGCAACAGTGATCCATGCAATGGTCACTTCGAGACTAGACTACTGTAATGCTCTGTACATGGGGCTGCCCTTGTCCCAAATCTGGAAGCTGCAGCGGGTGCAAAATGCTGCGGCCAGGCTGTTGATGGGTCTCTCTATATGGGAGCACATCCAGCCTATGCTAAAAGCATTGCACTGGCTGCCAATAGCATACTGGCTTCGCTTCAGGGTGCTGGTTTTGACCTTTAAAGCCCTTTATAGTCCGGCATACCTGAGGGACCACCTTTCCCCATAAGTTCCCCTTGAGAGCACTGCGTCCAGGGGCCCAAAAACGGCTGCCCCCCCCCAGGCCTCAAAGATGTTAGGTTGGCGGCAGCCAGGGCCTTCTCGGTGGCGGCTTCATACTGGTGGAACGAGCTCCCAGAGGAGATCAGGGTCCTGCGGGACCTACTACAGTTCCACAGGGCCTGTAAAATGGAGCTCTTCCACCAGGCTTTTGACTAGGAGCTGCCTAAATACCGAGGAGTGACCCTGTGCCCTGACTTTACTATCTTCAGCCACCTCGCCACAGAAATTAGTTGATCAATTTGAGATGATCTGAGAATACTATCTGGACCATCACTTCCTCTTGCACTTTACTTGAGTATTGCTCCGGCACTTTACGAAATGTTTATGACCGTTTTACATAGGATTTATGCTTGTTTTAGGTATAATTTTAACTGTATTTATATATGCGCTTTATGTAAGCTCCCCTGAGCCTACTTTGCGGGGAGGTTGGGGTATAAATTGAACTAATAAATAAATAAAAATCATCATCCTTTTTTCCCACCATGACAAGTGGTTATAGCATTTGAATTATACAGACATAAACCATCAGAAGCGTTTAACCTCAGGAAAACTCCTTTGCGTTTTTCAGGAAATTGAAAGATTGGAGACCAAGTTAAACCAAAGCCCAGAAAGGTGGCAGCCATTGTGGGAAAAAGTCAAAGTGAATGTTAAAGAAGATACCAGACACGACAATGTAAGTGTTAGAAGGTGCTCTTCAACAAATAATACCAGGGGATACTAGGGAAAGGGAGGTTTTCCCCACCAGTCCTTGCAGGTTCTCCACGATGCAACACTGGGCCCAGCTTAGCGACTAGCAGTATCCAACTTGCCCAGAGTTTTCCCAGGAACAGGCTGCCAGGGAGGGAAGGAGGGAAAGCTGAAAACAGGAGGCAGATAAAGGTAGATTTCTTGGGGGCGGGCGGGGGGGAGCAGGAAAAGACAAAAGACTATGGGGGCTTTCAGAAAAGGGAAGCAGGAAATAGTGGGGCATGGGAAATAAGATGTCCCCCACAAGTCCTTGTGGGCCCTCTGCTTCTTCTACCTAAAACCCTGTACATGTGTAAAAACCCTGTCAGTTAGTAACAGTGGCCTTTCTCCTGGTCCTGTAGATAGGCAACATTTGAGTCATCTTTTTTTTCTCATCTATCTACCCTCTTACTGACTTTTTAAGCATCTTCAGTGTCTCGCCTTCCTTTTCCTCAAGGTACAGAAGAACCTATTTGTGCAGCTGTCATCTTTACCTCTCCTCCTGAACCAGCTTTTCTAGTTATTATCACTCTCCTTTCAATCACTTGCGATGCCTTTTGATAGCGGCAGGGAACACTGTGCCGTCTCCCTCACACTCCCGTTCTTAAGATTTAAAAGCTGTCCCTCTCCACTGTTCCCTCTAAGCTGAGTTAGTGTGAGCTAGTTCAAAAAAATTTTAGCCTCCAGCTCACACGTTATTGTCGTAGCTCAGGAAGGACGGGCTCCAGAGCAAGCTAATTGATGCAGTAGCCAAATCTCTCGCTCACCAATTTGATGACAGTGGCTCACAAAGTAGAATTTTTGCTCACGACTCCACAGCTCAGAGGGAACATTGGCCCTCTCCCTCTGCCCTTGCTGTTACATACACTTGGCATGTGTTCGATCCTCTCATCTTTCATGTCACAACAGTCCCTTTCTCCCCATCCTCTGAAATTTAATTTCAAACTCGTTTCTTCCACAAAACTTTCCCGATCTACCAGAGGCTCGCAGGCGTTTTCTGTATGCAACCACCTCATCCTCTTCCTCAGGGCTTTTTTGGTAGAAAAAGCCCAGCAGCAACTCATTAGCATAATAGGCCACACCCAACAACAGAAACTCATTAGCATATCCAGCCACACCCATGAGAGCATAGCTCATTAGCATATTAGGCCACCCCCCCATGTTACCAGAAGTGTTGTCATCCAGCCACACCCACCTTTTGCTTCTTATTCTGTTTACCTTGTTTGTTGTCAAAACCTAGGGCTTTTTTTGTAGCAGGAACTCCTTTGCATGTTAGGCCACACCCCTAATGTAGCCAATCCTAATGAGTAATCCTAATGAGTTTCTGCTGTTGGGTGTGGCCCATTATGCTAATGATTTCCTGCTGGGCGTGGTCAACTTGGGAGCCAGCCGGAACTCCGTTCCTGTGCGTTCCTGCCCAAAAATAGCCCTGCTCTTCCTCATTCCTACTTCCTGTCTTCAACTTTTGTCCTATCCACGTGTATCACTCGGAGATCAGCATCTTTTTTTCACCTCTGTGTAGGGCTCATTCGTACACTAAAATAGTAACATAGGAAGATGGTTTAACATGGCAACATCCTGCAAAAGTATACTTAATTTAATCAGAGTCTTAAAAACAATAACTACCGTTTGTTACATGCCATTATAGTTGATGCATCTAATGTGTTTCTCAGACTGCATTTGATGTATCATTGTGCTTACTGCTAGGAACAAATTACTTAATTACGTTCATTAGCCACTGAATTAGAAAAATGAAATTCAGAATTATCTCATGAGTACGCTTCTAAAGAGAGTAAAATATGTATCCACAGTAGCATGACGTATGAAATATCTTTTTACATCTTATCTAATGGGACCAACTACAGCGTTCTGCATCCTCAGCTATGAATTCAGTCTATGGAGTTTGTGTATCTGTTCATGTTTTTGCCAAAAGCAGTTTTTAATGGTCATCGCTGTTCTAATTTTAAAAGCAAGTCATCCTACTTTTGGAAGTGGCTGTTCAGAACGTTTGCTAATCCTCCTAGCTAAACTTCTTGAAATTTTATCTTACCTTTTAAAGCATCGGAGACATCCTTCTGGATCCTCATCAATAATGTCTGCCAATCTGCATTCCTATCAGAAGAGGTCTTTGCTGCATCTGCCCGACAGCGGACTGGGTGATGAGCAAAGCACCAACGCTTCACCCTCCAATGGTGTAGAAAGAAGAGTAACTACGCTGTACAATCAATTCACATCAAAAAATTATGAAAATAGGTAATTTGAGTGTAAACAGATGTCTTGTTTTCACTTTTGTAATCTAATATTTCAAAATGCAGTTTCATCAGATATCAGAAAAGCGATGAGGCTAGTAAAACAATGTAGCTAGTAAAACAGGTGCATGGTTGGAGTGTTTTCTTTATCCTCTTTTCAATGTATTTGGGGGAAATGCTAGACTCGAGGAGCCCTTCCCCGTGGATGTCTTCTGGCTTCTTATCCTTTTGAATTAAAAGATACCTTTAAACCAGGTTTTCGTTTTCATTTCCATCTTATCTATAATCCCGTACATTGGTGTGAGATGCTAGTGCATGAAATAACTTGCTTCAGCAAAATTAAGAATAAAGAAATAGATACACATTCAGACGCGCACACAGTGGGCTTTATCTAGTAGTATATTTTCATGGATTCTCCCTCCCACTGCAGACCTCCAGCTTGCCCCTTATGCTGCTCCTGGGGGCCCCTTGTCTCCTGGGAGCAGCATTTCCAGAGAGCATTTTGGGCTGCAGCAGAATGGGGGAGGTAAGCAAGCCCCAGTCCGCTAACAGAAATTATTGTTTGTCACTGAAAATGACTGCTGGATGTAACCTAATCCAAAACAGCTCTCTTTGTAATAAATAAAATACTTTAAATAAGGCATTTTGTATCCATGAATCACATTACCTCTAACGTATTGACTGGTCACTAAGGAAACTGCTACTGTGCCATATAGAAGAAATGGCGATGAGCCAAAAAGTGACTGTTCTAAAGCAAATCAAATCAAATGTATTGTTACGGCCAATTGACCAGCAGTGGAATTGACTATTTCATTCTTAATGAAATAATAGGGAAAGGTGGCTCAAGTGGTTAAGACGCTGAACTGCAGGCTGTGGAAGGTCGGTAGTTCAGCAGTTCGAGACCCGGGTGCTGCATGATGGAATGAGCTCCCATCTCTAGTTCCAGCTCCTGCCAACCTAGCAGTTCGAAAGCAAGAAATTGCAAGTAGATAAATAGGTACCACTTCAGTGGGAAGGTAACAGCGTTCCGTGCGCCTTGGGGTTTAGTCATGCCGGCCACATGACCACGGAAATGTCTTCGGACAGGGCTGGCTCTTCGGCTTTGAAACGGAGATGAGCACCGCAACCCTAGAGTTGGACTCGACTGGCTTTCGAGCAAGGGAACCTTTACCTATAATGCTAATAATTTATGGTTATTTATTTATTGATTTATTGATTTATATCCCGCCCTCCCCTCAGGCTCAGGGTGGCTAACAATTAGGGCTCGAGGCCATGCTTAAAACAGTTAAAAACAAGATAAAACAATACAATAATACGGTAAAGTGCTGGTGCTCCAAATGTCCATGATTCCAAGATGGGTTCTGGCAAGATAGACCCAGAACAATGATGTAAGTTCCAAAGCGACGCTGCCATCCAGTCTTCGTCCCAGGGCCGTCTAGCACCCTGATGGTATCCATACCTTTGTGATGGCGGTGCGCTGGTGGTATAGTGGCGGTGGCGGCTCCTTCTCAAAGGCCTAAAGATATGAATTAGTCACCTATATAAGTATGCCTTTTTTGTTGCTTGGCACTAAATGCATATTATGTATTTCTCTTTCTTCTAGGTCATTTGAAGGTACACTTTACAAAAGAGGAGCTTTGTTAAAAGGCTGGAAACCTCGCTGGTTCGTCCTAGACGTTACCAAACATCAGGTAAAAATATGTATTGTAAATACTTTTATGTTACATAAATAACTGTGTTATTAATAAAGAACTGGTTCAACAGAAAGGATGAGTAGTAATTATGAGAAGATGCGCATTGCAAAAATATATATTTTTTAAAAAAATAGGATTTGTAACATCCTTAAGGGAAAAAGCTTGAAATCAGCTGGATGAAAATGTAAGAAAGACAGGAGGATGAGGAACCACAGTGCATTATGATTCCATGGGTACACTGAATACAATGTACACACTTTAGCTGTGTGTTTATTTTGTATGCATAATTTTAAAGGTGCATTTTAATGACTAAAGCAGTATTTTAATGATGTTCAGTCCATGAAACAATAGCAGACCAACTTCAAAATTCTTCTATTGCAATGAAAAATTACTAGGGTTGCCAAATTGACTCACCCCTGGGAGCGGGGGAGCCTTGCCGGTGTCCGGGAGTTTGGGACGACGCGCACATTACCAGAAGTGACGTGCAACGTTGCTGACGTTGGGGACGTGGCCGGGCTCGTCGGGGGGAAACCCATATGGTTTTCCCCCCGATGAGCTCGGCCACACCCCAACGTCAGCAACGTTGGCCCATTTGGCAACCCTAAGAATTACAAACATATGGGAACATTAGAATCATAGAGTTGGAAGGGGTCATACAGGCCATCTAGTCCAACCACCTGTTTAGTACAAGATCAGCCTAAAGCATCCCTGACAAGTGTTTGTCCAGCTGCTGCTTAAAGATTGCCAGTGAGGGGGAGCTCACCACCTCCATAGGCAGCCAAATCCACTGCTGAACAATTCTTACTGTAAAAATGTTTCCTAATATTCAGCCGGTACCTTTCTGCTCATCTTTTAAACCCATAATGCACCTGTATAAATTATAAACCTGGCTATAAGGGACATGACTGTGGAAGCTTTAATTGCCAAAGCCCATGTCTTCACGGGATAAGTGCAGCACTGCATTGCTCTTCCAGCTGGAAGTGTCTCTAAAGTATCTGTCTCCCGCCTTTGCGAGGGGTACTCTTGAGGCCAGATTAGCTACAGAGGTGTTCACCACTAGAAGTTTTAATAGCCTAGTGACCTTTGGAGGAAAATAATGAAGGCTCCCAGCATGAAATCTGTGAGGGAATGGGTGGCCTGCTCTTCTTTGATCTCTGTAGTAAAGAACCTGGGAAATGGGGAAATGAAGCTTAGCTCCCTGCAGTCTGACAGAATTTCCGTTTCCCCTTAATCTAATTTTTTATCTTTTGCATCCTGTGGCTGGTCTCCTTTGGGAGCTGAGAGCTATAGGATCTTTAGAGCTCTCTAGAGGAGCAAGAGGAGTTCCTCTGGGGAAAACAGCCATTGATGCTCTGGGCTTGAGGGACTCTTTGTCCTCAGACAATTTTCCTTCCTCCTGGCTGAGTGATGGTCAGAGTGCGCCAAGTCAATTACAGAATACTCCTCATCTGAACTGAAAGATGAGGAGGATGAGCAGAGGTCATTTCAGGGGGGATCGCGGGGGATCAGAGTTCCCCCGGGTGAGGTACGGGGGGCGGGGCACATGACGAAGCCCCGCCCCCTGCTTCCGGCCGCCCCACTTCCGGCCCTCATTCAGCCAGGAGGAGGCAGGAGAAGAGGGAGGGTAAGTTGCTTCCTCCCTGCCTCTCCCCACCCCTGCCTGCCTGGGGCCAGGCTTCCATGCACTCCCGCCAGCCTTGCAGGTCCACCGCCGGGCCCCTCATGGGGCTCGGCAGTGGAGCTGCAAGGCTGGTGGCGGCGGCCGGGACCATTGGGGGCGGGGGGTGTGACCTTATGGCACACTTCCGGTGATGTCAGGGGGTGTGGCATATGCTAATGAGTTATGCTAATGAGTTCCCCTAGCTCTTTTTCTATGAAACGACCCCTGAGGATGAGGCTGTTCGTGGTGAGGCTGCTGGGCCTTTCATGGCTGCCTTAGCAGGCCAGGGTGGTTGGCTCTTTGTTGCTGGGGTCCCACTGGAAAGAATATTGCTTCTGGGGAACATGGGAAGGGGGGGAGTATGTCTGGATCTCTTCAAGGGTACCTCCCTCTGTGATTCCACTGGGCAATGACAAAGTGTTCCATCCATGCCTAGAGTTCTGTAGGGACTAACATGCCTCCCTCCCAATTCAGAAACATTGCAGGGAGACCCCACCTTAGAGCACGCCCCTTTCCCAGTGATACTAGCCACTGCAGAGTCTCCATGATATTTGCAGACCTCCCTGGTGTGCATTTGATTTTTTTTCTGCCAAAATGCAACTGGATTGGAGCCTGAGGGGCTTGTTCGTGACTCTTCCGTAGCTGGTGCGGAAGGGCAGGAAGAGGCACAGGCTTGTGTGGCCCTCTTGCCTTGCAGTCAGGGAATAAGTGTCTCCATTTCTTCTGCTCAGGACGCTGCAGCATTTGACGCAGCAGGTGAGGAAGCTGCTGGGGCGATCACTGTGGCTGAGTCAGAGAGTGCAAAGAAACAGAAAGTGAAAGTAGTAGAAAAGAAGCTGGGGGGGGTTGTTTCGTAGAGCAGAGGAGTAGACAGATCTAGAAGTAAAGGCACTAGGGTTGCCAAGTCTATCTTCGCCAGGAGCGGGGGGCTCCCGGCTGGCGTCTTGTGCACGTGCGCAAAGCGCGCGCCGCACGCACGTCACCCAGAAGTGACGGGAGGACGCCAGACACACTGGGGGCGGGGCCATGACCATACAAGGGAAAACCATAGAGTTTTCCCTTGTATGGCCATGGTTCCACCCCCAGCGTGCCCACGTCACTTCCGGGTGACGCGCATGTTGGGGTGGAGTTCCCCCCGGGGCCCAATCCGGCGGCGCCGGGGAACGGACCTCTGGGGTGGGGGTTTCCCTGCCCCCCAGGGGGACTTGGGATCCCTAAAAGGCACAGTAATGAAAGAGCAACCTAAGAGCTCAACAAGGAAACATGTGTGGTTTAGTGGTTCAAGTGCTTGACTAGGAACCAGGTTCGAATCCCCACTCTGCCATGGAAGCTTGCTAGGTGACCTTGTTGCTGTGAGGATAAAATGGAGAGGAGAATGATGTAAACCACCTTGAGTCCCCACTGGGAAGAAAGGTGGAGTATGGATGAAGTAAGCAAATACATTTTCTTGCCCCACTCTCTCAGGAGTAGGGAAGAAACAGAACTGAAGAACTTCCTTCCCACTGGAAACCGAAGGAACAACCTATTTCTTGCCTCCAGTGGCTGTGGGTAGGAGAGTACCCAGTCATCAGAGCACCATCCTCTCTCCAAGTGGAAACAGGAAAATAGCAATTGTACTTCCTATGTCTGTAAAGGGTAGGGTTGCCGACAAAGCTGTGGAGTCTTGTGAGCAAAAACTCTACTTTGTGAGCTACTGGCATTAAAGTTGTGAGCAGTGTTCCCTCTAAGCTGAGTCAGTGTGAGCTAGCTCACAGTTTTTTAGCCTCCAGCTCACACATTTTTGTCTTGGCTCAGAAAGGATGGCTCCAAAGCAAACTGATTTATGCAGTAGCCAAATTGCTTGCTCACAACTTTAAAGCCAGTAGCTCATAAGGTTGAATTTTTGCTCACAAGACTCCACAGCTTAGAGGGAACATTGGTTGTGAGTGAGCGAGTTGGCTACCGCATAAATTAGTTTGCTCTGGAGCCCTCCTTCCTGAGCTGAGTCAAGAATGTGTGAGCTGGAGCCTAAAAAAACTGTGAGCTAGCTCACACTAACTCAGCTTAGATGGAACACTGGTGGCCAACCTCCAAGTGAGGCCCTGAGGTCTCCTGGAATGACAGCTGATCTCCAGATGACAGAGATAGGTTCCATGGAGAAAATGGCTTTTTTGGAAGATGGACTCTGTGGCATTACCACCATTGGAAATCCTTCCCCAAACCGTACCCTTCACTGGCTTCATCCCCAAATATCCAGGAATTCCCCAACCTGAACTTGGCAGCCTTAGTACAAGGGTATGTTCCAGTGGTGTGAAGTCTGTGAAAGATATGATAATTAAGTAGCAGATTCTAAAACTTTGTGTTTGTTATTGATAACAGATTAATTATTTTCTTTTTTTTATAGCTAAGGTATTATGACTCTGTGGAAGATGCATGCTGTAAGGGGCATATCGACCTTGCAGAAGTAGAAACTGTAATTCCAGCTTCACCAACAATTGGCGCTCCAAAGCATGCCAGTGACAAAGCATTCTTCGATGTAAATATATTTGCCTATTTTCTTCAATACAAACTTTATATTGCATCATACTAGCACTAAAGAATCTCCCCACCCACCCACCCACCCACCCCACACACACATTCTGACAGTTTTTTCTGGCAATCCTAACTACATCAGTTTTCTGACCTTCATCTTCAACATAACAAGCATACATTTTTTAAAAAACTGATACACTGCTGATGAGATAGGAAGCTGATATACTTAAAGCATATTAATTTTATCCTTCAATGCCAGTAAAAGAATATGCTGCTATCAGATTTATGCAGGTCTTTTAGTATATCTCTCTGTATAATAATTCTGTTTTGGTCATGGACTCTCCTGAGCATTCCACACGCTCCCAAATCAGTTCGCTCCCTAATCTGTCACTCAGAAGCTGTCCCTATCCACTGGCTGCGTTGCCTGAGTCTCGCCTCCAGTATTCTAAACAGTTTGCTGTTCCTCTCCCCCCAATAGCCAGTTGGAACACATATGCAGGCTGATTGGCCTTTGCCTCTAGCATTCTAAACAGTTTGTTGTTGCAAGTCATTGAATGTGTCCTGAGGTAAAATACATATCCCAATTTTCCATTAAACGGTCACTGGAGTTGCCAGTCTCCCTGTGTGGCCTGGAGATCTCCCAGAAATCACCGTGTTCCCCAGCCACAGCACATCATTTCCCCTACAGAAAATTTCCCAGCTATTACAATGGCTGCTTTGGGCAGTGGACTCTGGCATTATACCCTGCTGAAGTCCCTCTGCACCCCAAACCCTGCCCTCCCCAGGCTCT